CAGTTACAGATGGTCAGTCACAGATGGTCTGTTACAGATGGACCGTAACAGATGGTCAGTCGCAGACGGTCAGTTACAGATGGACAGTTACAGACAGTCACAGACAGTTACAGATGGTCAGTCGCAGACGGTCAGTTACAGATGGACAGTTACAGACAGTCACAGACAGTTACAGATGGTCAGTTGCAGACAGTCAGTCACAGACTGTCACAGACAGTTACAGATGGTCAGTCACAGATGGTCTGTTACAGATGGACCGTAACAGATGGTCAGTCGCAGACGGTCAGTTACAGATGGACAGTTACAGATGGTCAGTCGCAGACGGTCAGTTACAGACAGTTACAGATGGTCAGTTACAGGTGGACAGTTACAGAGAGTTACAGATGGTCAGTCGCAGATGGTTAGTAACAGATGGTTAGTCACAGACAGTCAGCTGCAGTCAGTCACAGACAGTTACAGATGGTCAGTCGCAGATTGCCAGTTACAGATGGTTGGTCGCAGATGGTCAGTTGAAGACGGTCAGTTACAGATGATCAGTTACATATGGTGAGTCACAGAAGGTCAGTTACAGATGGACAGTTACAGACAGTCACAGACAGTTACAGATGGTCAGTTGCAGACAGTCAGTCACAGACTGTCACAGACAGTTACAGATGGTCAGTCACAGATGGTCTGTTACAGATGGACAGTTACAGATCGTCAGTTACAGATGGATAGTAACAGATGGTCAGTCGCAGATGGTCAGTTACAGATGGTCAGTCGCAGATGGTCAGTTACAGACAGACAGTTACAGATGGTCAGTTACAGATGGACAGTTACAGAGAGTTACAGATGGTCAGTCGCAGATGGTGAGTAACAGATGGTTAGTCACAGACAGTCAGCTGCAGTCAGTCACAGACAGTTACATATGGTCAGTCGCAGATTGCCAGTTACAGATGGTCGGTCACAGATGGTCAGTTGAAAACGGTCAGTTACAGATGATCAGTTGAAGATGGTCAGTTACATATGGTGAGTCACAGAAGGTCAGTGACAGATGGTCAGTCGCAGATGGTCAGTTGAAGACACTCAGTTACAGACGGTCAGTCACAGATGGTTAGTCACAGATGGTCAGTTACAGACAGTCATACACAGTCAGTCACAGACAGACAGTTACAGATGGTCAGTTACAGATGGTCGGTTGCAGATGGTCAGTTGAAGACGGTCAGTTACAGACGATCAGTTGCAGACAGTCAGTCACAGACAGTCACAGACAGTTACAAATGGTCAGTTACAGATGGTCGGTTGCAGATGGTCAGTTGCAGATGGTCAGTTGAAGACGTTCAGTTACAGACGGTCAGTTACAGACGGTCAGTCACAGACGATCAGTTACAGACGGTCAGTCACAGACGATCAGTTACAGATGGTCAGTCACAGATGGTCAGTTACAGCCGGACAGCTGCAGATAGACAGTGGCAGATGGTCAGTTGAAGATACTCAGTTACAGACGGTCGGTCACAGATGGTCAGTTACAGCCGGACAGTTGCAGATGGTCAGTTGCAGACGGTCAGTCACAGTCACTTACAGATGGTCAGTCACTGTGTCTCTGGTGTGACTCACGGCCCAGTGTCCAGCTGACAGGTTCTGCAGAGCTCCGGCCGCCGCCTCCAGCGTGTTGTGATTCTGGCTCAGCTTGAGAAGTGACAGGTAGAGTCGGACCACCTCCGGCTGGTACAGAAGCTCCAGGCCTGCAGAAACAGACTCATTAGCATGAATCATTCATGAGACACTTCATACAATCATCTAAAATACACGTGAAATGGGAACGTGAGACATGAGGACCAAATCCTGTAAGAACCAGAGTTTTGCATTATTTTAAGGACATGTGAGCACTGGTTGACAGGCTTTTTCTGATGCTCTGAGAGGTTTTCTTGAGCGCTGCGGGACAAGCTACACGCTGAAGTTTAATACTTAATGTCAGAGGTTTGTTCAGATCACTCGGAGCACTAGTACTGGTGATGCCGGAGGTAATAAACAACACTGAATAATGGATCTACAGTCACACCTGAACCAAAAGATTCAAGATTCTGTTATTCATCCTCTGGAGTCAAATCGGATTCAGAGAGTCTGATCCCGAGTGAAAAGCAGAGATGGCTTTAGGGATTTTATACATCAGAACGTGTCTTTCATACTAACAGCGTCTCTCTGTTACAGCAGCGATTCTTTATTCACATCAGTGAATCAAATACACATCTAAAGATCCTCCTGCTAGCAGATCATCAGACGATACTCCTCAAATAATCATGTGCAGTTCATAGTGAGAAACGTGCCGCATCTTAAACCCATGAAAAAAATCAAATGCATATTGCATAAAGAAAATTAAGACATTTTTTAATAACAGTTAAGCACATTTACCCAAGTTTACAATATATTACTGTAATGCATTACTTTTAATTTTAGAATATTTATTTATTTGTTTGTTTGTTTTAATTGTAATTATCCTCAGTGATGATTCTCACATTTA